TGGGGTACCCCTGAGGGTGGTTTTAAGTGTTCATCCCTGGTTTTTAGAGATAAAAAAGTACTTGATGGTGGCAGCGATTCTCCAAAATCTGTGTATTATGATTCCTCTAGAGGAAAGGTTTTGAAGCTTTCTTGTGGGCCCTCACCTTCTGCACTCAGAGTGCCAGAGTTGGGAACAGCTCTGACAACATCAAAAGAAATAAAACATTAACCTAAACATTTAAAAAGTGATCATAATAAACCACAAAGGATTTCTGCCCCACCCCCTGTAACATCAAAGTGTGCATTCACAGCTTTATCTTCCAATGGCACTAGGCCATTCCTTTCTGCTAACCAGAAAGGGGAGCTGGCAGGATACACCTATATAATGTACCTTATTACCTTCATTATACTTACTATATTCTTACACAATTAGTGAAATACTACATTTTGCTTACATATCTTTATTGGAATGATAGCTCCCTTATTCTCAAGGAATAGTTTTGTTTCTAATTAACAGGTCCCTGTCTTCACACAGAAAATGCCTTGTGTGTTATACTAGCTAAAGGATTTACAATGTTCTATCTACAGCACAAAATATTCATATTTCTTCAGATAACAGTTGTCCCCTGAAACTTATTAAGGGACTGCACTTACAACACACAAAGAGTCACTTAGAGGAAGGATGGTGCCTGAGTCAAGGGAAAATAGCTGAAGTCTAAGTCTAAGAAACTAATAACTTAACTTGATGTTTTGATCTTGTTGCACAGCTCGACCTGGAGTTCGCTTAGAGAAGTGCAGAGTGGATCCATATGTTTTTCAGACCCCCAGAATTCTGAAGATGTTTAGATTCGGGCTAGGTTTGGGCTTGATGCTAAATCAGAGCTAGTGTTCAGTCTCAATGATATTGGACACGTGAACTTTGCTTGAAAGACTTTGGCCCTGACAAGTAGGTCACAGAGAGTACATCTAGACTGCAAACTTCTTTCAAAAGAGAGCATTCATACCTCAAAACAGATAGAAAAAGCAATCTGCTTTTTTGAAAGAGAGCATCCAGACTGCATGGATGCTCTCATGAAAGAAAGCCCTGATTGCTATTCACAAAGTGTCCACCAGTGCATCTGTGCTTTTTTCGATTTCCTGTTCGTTTGAAAAATTTCCCTGTTCTGCATCCACACACACTTTTTTTCGAAAGAGCTCTTTTGAAAAAGGTGTTCTTCCTCATTATTTGAGGTTTACCAATGTCGGAAAAACCCTGCGTTCGTTCGATTTAATTTAGACAGAACACAATCACAGTGTGCATGTAGGTGAAGTTGTTTTTTTTTTTAAAGGGCAGTTTTTTTGAAAAAGCAATGTAGTCTAGACATACCCAGAGGGTACATCTACACAGCAGGGCTGAAGTCCATCACCATAAAACAGGGGTGGGGAAGCTAAGGCCCAGGGGCCGAATCTGGCCCCCGGCTTCCATGGATCCAGCCCCTGAGGCTCAGGGCTCACCTCAGCATTGGCACTTCAGCCACCCCGCAGTTTCCCTGTGGGGCTGGAGCATACAAAATCTACTAGACAGAGCACCACTAAGCTCTGGTGTGTGAGAGAAATGTGAGGAGTGTCTTTCCCCTCAGTCAGGAGCTACATCAGTGAGGGTTTGTTTGGTTTTATTTTGCTTCTCACTTGTGTGCAGCCACTGACTAACTTTTTTATAAGTCAGCAGCCCCCAACACAAAAAAGGTTCCCCACCCCTGCCATAAAAAGACTGGACAATTGCCTGGGTGGGCAAGATAGAATGCTGTTGGAGGAGCCAACTCATACATAAAGATCAATGAGAAAATTGAAAGTGTAGGCTGGGTGGAACATGAACCACAACAGATGACTTTTTGAACACATTGAACTAACACATTTTTCAGGATATGTTTGTGCCTGTATAAGATTTTGCTTTTTCATAGCAGCTATCATCAAAGTGTCTGAATATAGAACTCGGTTCTCCTGATTCTAAATCTAATAAGCTCAACCATTCTCTCAGGTGGGTATAGAGTGTAAGCACTGACTAGGAAGTCCTCCTGTGAAGGCCTGATGCCATCTTACCATACCGTCTGCTGGCTAAAATATGGAGCCAAAGTCCCTTCTGGGATTACCGCCTTTGAAGATTTCTTAATTACTCCACAGTAATTTTAGCATTGTAGGTGATTTTGTGACTGGTTTCTTTTAACTAACCCCCTTCCACTGCACTGGGCACTTTAGGTCTTAGATTGCCTTTTTTCGGCGGGGTGGAAAGGATGAGGTAAGCTTTCACTCCACCGGGGCCACACATGGGCCCTCGACCTTCCCCCGCTTGTGCGTTTCCCAGTCTATTTTGCCCCTCCTACAGTTCATATAACCCCTAGGTTGTCCAATAGTCTTTCTACTCGTACCCACTTTTGGTGGGCAGGATAGGGGAACCCGGACCTGCCTTTTCTCACGGGTCCCAGCCGAGGGCCCTGAAGACAGATTCAAACACACTCCTGTCTGGCTGATGGGGACTCCTGCTGCAACTTGTCAGCCTGCAGGTTCAGACAGGGAAACCCCGCCCTGGGCTACTTCCTACCCCGGTTCCACCCAGAGAACTCCGAGCATCCTCACAGTAGTCTCCTCAGCATGCATGGCCTGTACGCGGAAGCCCCCAAACCTCTCCCGGCCAGAGGGAAAATCAAACCCCTGCTTGCTTGCCTTCCCACTTTCTCATGCTCCTTTTGTATCTCCCTCCCCGCTCCCACTGCCCACGCCTCCCTCTGTGACATCCCGCCGATGTACTCCTAAGCTCTGCCCCCCCTTCCTTTACATCACCGGCGGCAGCATGGTGCCCATCCCGAGACTGTGGCACCGCGCCACTCAGCTGAGCCCTGGCCCACGAACAGGCAGTGCAAGTGGCAGGCCATGCTCCGCTCTCACTGTACAGCACAGGTGCTGGGGCATTCTGAGTGTGGGGTGACGGTGCCCCGTCATGGGGGGGAGTGATCTTCAGTTCGCACACACACACACAGAGCCAGCTCTAATTCATATCTTCCTAATTTGGAATAATCACAGGAGGCACTTTTAGAGTTCATAGAACTGTCCTACCTGGGCTGTCTTCTCCTGAAGGTTTTATTATGTAATTTCCTTCTGTTCTCTGCCTGGCCCTCTCTGGGGACACACAGCTAGTTAAAATTCATATCTGTGCTTTCCCTGGCCTACCTTCTCCCTGAAGAGATTATTCAACTAAAATGCAGAGTGGGAATGTAGTTCGAAGCCAGGGACAGTTGATCCTGAACTGAAAGGATACATCACTAATCTGCCCTCAGAGTAATAAAAGCCATAAGAGCAGCTGCAGCTCAAAGGGTGTATTACAGCCATGAATTCATCCTTTCCTCTAGCCTTCTCAAAATTTGTTTACACTGGGTACAGGGTCCAAAATCTGGCACTTACAGCATAGTATCATCCTGTAGTCCATGAAGCAATCCTTTAGGTCTGAGAGCAGGCTATCAATCAAGGTTTCAAACGCAAACCCATGTTTCTTTCTCATATTTTTCTCTGTTCTTTCCCCCCCATCTTCTTTTCTTCCTGCCTGCCTTTGAAGCCATGCTTAAACTTGAATAACAACAACATTCTTTTCTATTGCCTAATGAAACTAACATGCCTCCACAACTTTTATATTTACGATAGACGTGTAATGTATTAGGATGGGCACGTGTTGGGTTGGTGTTAATTATGAAAAACTCCATTGGCTGTGTTTTCTTTCAAATCTAAAACCAAGAGTGATTTAGATCACTGACCCATTCTAGCTGATTCTCACCTTCCCCCAAAAGTCAACTAAGTTTGAATGGTTCCAGTTTAAGCCCATCGTAATTCCTATTTCAGTAGCCACAGTTACAAGTCCTAGTTTGATGTATTTGAAAATATAATCTGTAGCTCTGTCAGATTCTTCCTGTTCTTCATTATTTTCTTTATTATTTATATTATGACTAGAGGATTTACTTAGCATTGCTCGGATTCTTGTGGCGGTTTAGGGAAGGGGGTTGGAAGGTGTTGGGAATGGGGGCTTATGTTAGGGTGTTGGCTATGGGGGCTTAGGGAAGAGGGGCTGGGAAGTGGGGGGGTTCCTCATGTGGTGTCCAGGGCTACGTTGCCCAACTCTGGCCAGCAGGTCATCGGGTTTGGTTGTGCCAGGAACCCGAACTTTGCTTTAAGTTAATCTGCGTACCAAATTTGGTGGTCCTACCTCTTACGTTTAGGAAGAGTTCTTGAACAAATGGTCTCACAGACAGACAGACAGACAGAGGCACAAACTCTCTTAAATATACAGCTAGCACTGGGGTAAGACAACTTTTTGGCTTTAGAGACACATTTCAGTCTGGGAATTGTATGACAGGCCATGAATGCTCACAAAATTGAGGTTGGAATGTGGGAGGGGGTGAGGGCTACAGCTGAAGGTGTGGTGTCTGGATAGTGCCAGAAACAAGGAGTTCAGTGTGCAGGAAGGGGCTCCAGACAGGGACAAGCAGTTGCAATGTGGAGGCAGGGAGGGCTACTGCTGGAGAGGCAGGCTCTGTGGTGGGGCCATGGCTGAGGGGTTGGGCGTGTAGGAATGTGCTGCCAGGATTGGGGCAGTGGGTTGGGGCATGAAGGGGCTCAGTAGTGCAGGCTTCAAGTGGTTCTTACCTCAGGCAGATGTTGGAAGCCGCAGCATGTCCCCCTTGCAGAGCCTATGCAGAGGCATAGCCATGCGTCTCTACGCACTGACCTGTCTGCAGGCACTGCCCCTGCAGCTCCGCTGTAGTTCCTGGCCAAATGGAACTGCAGAACTGGCACATGGGGCAGGAGCAGCATGCTCAACCCCCTGGCTACCCCTGGCTTTTAAGAGCCAGAAGAGGGACATGCCATTTCCTCTGGGAGCTGTGCAGAGCCATGCCACAAGCAGGAGTGGCCAAGTCCCTGACCCCAATCCTCTGAGGGAGCTTGAGGGCCAGATTAAAAGGTCTGATGACATGCATGTGGCTGTAGTTTTCCTACCTTTGTGATAGTGCCTAAGGAGGTATAGTGATGCTGAGGGGGAAATCTCGCTCCCCTGGGGTACAGAGCCCCCAGAAGGGTCCGAGGCCGGAGGTCAAATCAGTGAGGCAGGAGAGAAACCTAGAAGAGAAAACTTTATGATGCATGCATGCAGGCTGTCACTTCCAAGAGTGAAGCAGCAGCCCTGACAGACAGATTCAGGTATCCTATATACAGAATGCTTAGACAGTTCAGTTGTGGATTGTTCTTCTTTAACATATCAAAGTCTCAGCAGAAGTACTCTGAGACTTCTGTTCACCCCAGGAGTGCTAGAAGTAAGTTTTTACAGTACACAAAGCCACATGAGAACTTGAGTGGAGGAGTCTACAAGGCAAACCGTGACAAAGATAAGGGTTTACATGACAAATTGTAACAGACTAGGATAAGGGTCTTTGATTAGAGTTAATTTGATTTCACTCTGATACAGGGAGAGAGGCCTGGAAAACTTTTTAAACCTTACAGCAGTTTTCTTTTAGAGAGTTTTGATTTCTGCACAGTCCCCCCTTAGACACAATTGGAGTTATTTGATTTTTCTCCCACAATGCTATTGCACTTAGTGATGAAGCCAACAGGAGATTGCAGTAGGTATCCCACCTCCCTGAGAGGCAGTGCTGTCTGCACCAGGAAGTAGATTGGCATAACCCGTGCCTTTCAAGGGTGTGGATTTTTCATATCCCTGAGCAACATAGTTTTACTGACATAAATTTGTAGTGTGGAGCAAAAATAATCTCAAGTGGAATTAAGGCCTTGTAACATAGGGACTGTGTAAACACAGATGTAGTCACAGACCATGCCCCAAAGAGTTTACAAACTAAGAATATTCTGGTGCTATTCTATTCTCAAAACTGATTAATATTTTTAGTTTTTATTGTTGTACTGAGGCTAATATGGGAAGCTTGTAAATAAATTTCAACAGCTGGCTACTTATAATTAAACAATAACATGGCAGCATCTACTTCTCTTTTGGTTTAACTGGCTAAAACTATAGCAATTAAACTATATGATGGTGATGAAATATATTTTTTTCAAGTTATTTGGGACATAGAATATTTAAATAGGTAAGAATGATCTCAGAACAGTTACTGTAAGCTAAACTAATAAAATAGTGGACATGCACTTAGTATAACAGCACAGTGAAAAGTTGTCTATCATACTGAAAATTAGATCAGGGCTGGCTTTTCCTCTAGGTATGGTAAGGAGCATTGCACATGTTTGACTCTCCACCCTAGCCAAGAACAGCATTAAGTCCAGATATATATTAAGAAATATATTTAAAAATAATAATGAATCTTGGACATTTGGGGGAGGGGATTAAATTTTAATGCCTTAGAAAGGCAGGAAATAATTCAAAGCTAAATGCCTAATATTTATTAATCTTTGAAGATTCATTTGATGTAACCTTTAATATTATTAGTTAGTCACTTGATTAAAGACATATGATAGACCCAATTATGCAAAGCTGGCAGAGGAAGGTAGATAGCAAAACCTCTGGTGTACCTTGTGCAATCTAATCCCATTGCCCACTAGCAAAGATTCACCATTTTAAAGGAAAAGTGTTGATTTTCAGGGTTCTACGTTTTGGCAGGAGAGATGGGGGAAACCAATACAAGGCAGATAGAACAGCATTTTCCCACATATTTTCATAGTAATTTTGCCTGAAGAGTTTCTTAAGAAAGCTACTGAACCAGGTATCTCTCTCACTGGCCATACCACTTGTTTTGTTTTTTTTTAAACATAACACACTCTTCAAGCTGTGTCCCTCTTTCCCACCTATGTGAAATTTTACCTGTTTTATGACTCCATAATTGAGTTCTACAGTGCTGTTTCTGTTACTTGGGATATCCCTATTTAATAAACCATCATTAACCCTTCTGTTGGCATTTATGCTGGTACTGAATCTCATTAACAAACATACCTGTCAACAGCTGGAGGAGTGGATTTCATCATTTTTTTCTTGCAGTTTGTTGCTTTTATTTTAATTCCCCATGGTCTGCAGAAATTTCTTCTGTTGTAAAATTGAATGCTACTGTAGGAAGGAAATGTACATAAATTTAAGAGTTTAATTTTTGCCTATGCCAAATCTCTCCCCCTCCCCCCGTCCTTTCCAATCAACACATACACACACAGTCACTCTTTTTGATATTTGCACATCAAAAATCATCCATAGGTCTTGTAAAATATTCATCAGTAAAACTTTTATAAAGGCTGTCTGTTAACATCTTAAAAAGCTACTTGTATCTAGGGATGTTCCCAGTAACACAAGATCAGTGTGTAAATATTAAAGGGCCTAATCAATGAATACCAGAAGAGATGCTGAATGCCATAGGCTTACAGGATTGGGCTCAAAATTGTTATCAAAGGGTATGTCTACACTACAGAGTTAGTTCGAACTAACTTAGTTCAAATTAGTTAATTCGAACTAAGCTAATTCGAACTAACACGTCTAGAACTAAAAACTAGTTCGAATTAGCGTTTTGCTAATTCGAACTAGCATGTCCACATTGAGTGGACCCTGAACAGGGCTTAAGGATGGCCGGAAGCAGTGCCAGCAGGGCATCAGAGGAGGACTTAGAGCATGGAGATGCTGTCTCAGGCTAGCCGAGGGCTGCGCTTAAAGGGACCCGATCCCCACCCCGGACAGACAGTTCTCAGGGGTGCCCCGCTTGAAAACCAGTCCTGGCTTGGAGTGCCCGGAGTGCCCACACTGGGCACATCACAGCACTCGGCCATCAGACCGGCTGCACTTGCCGCAGGCTGCCATCTGGGGAGAGGGGGCAATTGGGGGGCTGCAGGAGAGCTTCCACCCCCAGAAGCCCACAGACCCAGCCCAGTCCTCCCCATCGGGGGCTCGTACCCCATTCCTCCCTCACCTCCTTCCACTTACCATTCCCTAGCCCCCCTTCCTGATGTACAAAATAAAGATAACGTTTCTTCCAACATTGACTCTGTCTTTATTGAAAAAAACTGGGGGAGACTGGGAAAAGGAGGTGGGAGAGGGGAAGAGAAAGGCTGGGAGAGGGGAGGGCAACTAACATGATCAGGGGTTGGGAACAGGTCCCAGATGAAGAAAGGCTACAGAGACTGGGACTGTTCAGCTTAGAAAAGAGGAGACGGAGAGGGGACAGGATAGAGGTCTCTAAAAGCAGGGGTTGGGTGGAGAGGGTGCATTCAGAAAAGTTCTTCATGAGTTCCCATAAAGAAG